TTTTCGAGACTAGGGTAAAGTTATTTATTCTACAACCTGATAATGATTTTTTTAAGGTATTCAATGTATGATGAAGGGATTTTGAAGAATTTTGAATCATTTTAAACTAGTTAAAATTGCATTGCTAGATAACGATGAAAGTGAAATGAACCAAATTCACATGACTGATAATATATAAGAAGCTGGTCATTCTGCACTTTTGAAGTTTTTAAAGAGTTATCTGCCCTTGATGCAAAGAAGAAAATTTTAATTTCGTCAAAATATCTGTGGTAAATGATTAATTTTATTTCATATTCTAATAATGAGAGAGTGTATGCATATTTTCACCAAGAGCTTTTTATGAAATTCAAAATACTTTTCACAATATTCTAATAACTCATGCATTGCCCATAGACTTTAATGTAAAATTCAAGGTGCAATTAATTTGACAATAATAATTTTTTTTAAAATTTCTTTAGTGGAGTATTTTTATTTCACTACACCATCAAAATGATACCATAAATACAAATATAGGACCATTCACTTATTAGATACAAAATATGGTCGTTATACATTGAATACCTTAACTTCTTTCTACAATTAATATAGTTAGAAAAGGCTTTCTCTAACATGTTCAAGAACTTTTGCTTCCACAAAGATATCATACCGATTGCAATTTTTTTGATAACCACAATTTTCATACAAAATATTACTCTTATCCGTTTCATGTACATGTATTATTTCATTGTTTAATAAATATCTTTCTATTTATTTATTACTAATAAAAAGCCCAACAAAAGAATTGTTTATTGCATCGGTCTAGCAATTTTATTGTTGATCGGTCTGCCAATCCAACATAAGAATTGTTAGACAGCAACGTCACTGCTACGTCACAAGTAATTAATCGTCGTTCAATATCGGCGACACGGAAAAAGCCGAAGTTTAGAGCTGCAAGAGTTGTCGTTTGCTATATGAAAGAGTATGTTTTGTGATAAATAATTTTTGTGATATAATAATTTTATTTTTAATTTTTTCATTCTCTCCTATTGTTTTGTTTTTATTGAGCAAGCCAAAATTTTCCAAAGAAAGTAATTGATTATATATTGATTAAATCTGTTCAAAATGTTTTCATTTTAATTGTTCTATCTGAAGTGAAGGGTATAACAAGGGCCTGTGGCCTCGGGCAACATTTTCACCTTCAGGTCCAAAAAATCATATGTTGCTCTCATACCCAGTTAATAAATGTATAATATGAAAGACATCAGTCAAAATTCGAGCTAACAACATATATATTTGCTAACAAGATCATTGCATTGACCAGAGAATTTTCGAAATATTGGCTTTTAAACGAAATTGATACCATTGTGCCATCAACTTATTCGTCAGCAGTCTGTCTCGTTCTAGATATTGTTCGTCCGAAAACATGCTCTTGCTCATTGAATCCACTGACGAAATAAACCCTATATGCAGGTAAAAATGATATATTGCTACATAAATAAGGGAAGTTGATGAAAGAAGAGTTGGAGTCATCACGTTTATCATAAACTTTTAAGCTTAGGTTTTAGTTTATCATCAACGTCTTTCTTGAGTAAAATATCCAAATATGTAATATGTCAGAATATGTTGTGTCTTTTATTGAGTTTAATGGGACGTAACAAATCAATGTTTGAATGTTTATTGACAAAACATTATCAATATATCTAATTGTTAAACTAAAGGTCACAGCAAGAGACTTTTTTTACACTACATCTCAAACATGGAAACAAGCGTCGGATTTTGATTTAAAGTATAATAATGTAAATTGTGAAGATAACAAACACTGATAAATCTCATAAATCCGTAAACAAAACGAAACATATAGATGTATTGACAAACGTGCAATGACGAGGACATAGCTCTATCATATTTATTTACAAAATGTTTTTGACAAATATGATGTAATATAGAAGTCGAACTAAACACCTCCATCACAAAAGAGCGCACATTTTGTTCGGAAAGACTTTCTATGCGTTTGCTGAGATATTGAACTTAAGTGTTCTGATTTTCTAAGAATAATTTATTGAATGCTTGAATACCAATTTTTTTTCTGAGTTATTATTAGAATATTTCAAGTACTTAGTTTTTTTTATGAAAAAACTTACACAAGTATTCTGAATCTAAGCCCAGGTTAATCTGCATTTATCTTATATTACCAAAATTTTCTCAGTAGGAACAGCAAAGTTAATTTTGCCCGTTTTTCTCAACCTAGGTTAAGACGTAAAAGTGCTAGTAAAAATACATTTTCTGTACGATATGCAAATCTAAATACAAAAATAATCAAGAGAGAGAGAGAGAGAGAGTATACACATAAGTTGATGACACAAGATATCAACCATCTCGTTTAAAGTCAACATTACGCAAATTCCATGTTTGATACAATGACCTTGTTTGCAAAATTAACACAATCTATCGTTAAGCTGAATGTTTACTGACTTTTTTCCATATGAATTGTTAGGTCATTTTTTTTTTCATTTACCTGATCATCAAAGAGTACACGGCAAGTTTTACCGGTGGACAGGGTGTGTTCATTCCTCCATGGCACCTTATCCCACCTCTTTTTTCACTTTTCAGACGTCCATTTTTGCTCTGCTCATAATTTGTATTGTTTAAATTGGATTTTGTGTATGATTTCTGTCGGTTATTTTCACGTCATTGATGATACTTTGATTTGTAGATATTTGAAAAGTTTTTTGCCGTATCTAAATCAACAGAATACTGTTTTCAAGACTCAGTTTGTCTTATAGACAGAAACGTAGACTGATTTGATTTGGTTTGATTTGAACAAAATTAGGCCACTGTGCTCTTCCAGAAATAGTCAACGCACTGAGAATTTTTCAATTACATAGTATTTGGTGCAATGAATTATGAATTTACTGACAGAGTGCGTTTTGAGTCTCCTGAAACAAGCAAAATGACCTTTTACGCATACTTTACCCTAATCATTCAAAAAGGTCACAAAATTTTTACTGTACATAGTCGTAAATTTGCGTTACCCTAATCTTGTTTAAATTTTCTACCCGTAATTTGGCTTTAATCAGCTCAGATCATGCAAAATCTTTGCAATAGCACTTCTGTTTAAAATAATTAAAATAAACCCATCCATTTCATAATATAACATTTTTGAATAAGTTTTCCTATTATATCACAAATGTAATAAGTTTCACTATAAATCTTGAAGAATGCTGAGTCACACCGGAAACAGTTATGTCACACGCCGGAAACAGTTATGTCACCCGACGGAAACAGTTATAACACCCTCTCGATCACTTTCACGTGTTTTTATGTTACGCATTTGTAGCTCAGGTTCGACATGTAATGACGTCGGTTTCTAAGCAAATGTAAACAACGGAGCGTAATTCTAACGTCATGAAAGCAAGTTGGATTATTTGTCTAAACTTAAACAATTTTAGACGATTTTTTAATTTTAAAAATGTTATATAACACATACCACATGGCTTCTCGGGTGCCTATACCAGAATGTTTGCCCCTCGGTGACAGGAAAGTCCTGGAGTGTTATGTCACCCTCTGCCTTCGGCATCGGGTGTGTCACCCTCTGCCTTCGGCATCGGGTGACATAACACTCCAGGACTTTCCTGTCACCGAGGGGCAAACATTCTGGTATGTCACCCTCGAAGCCATGTGATATATGTATAATGTAAGCCTGTATAATGCGTAAACTAAGTGCAACATAACCGAAGCGTATTTTCCTGTCGCCATCTTGGTCTAAGGTAACGCACTTTACCCTAGTCCGTTTCTACACAGTGTTGATACCTTTGTCACGCGGCACGTCGTTTTACCCAAATGGACCCAAATGGAACCCAAATGGAAACAAATGGACCCAAATGGAACGCCAAATGGAACCCAAATGGACCCAAATGGAAATCAAAATGGATCAAATGGAAATCAAATGGACCCAAATGGAAACCGAATGGAATATTAAAGATATCCAGTATCGTATTATCAAGTTGTTACTTATTTAAAATGATGAAAATAATGAACTTACAAATGGAGAATATTAATTATTCATTTCTAATACTGTATTTTAAAAAACAAATTAATTTTCTTTGGTATTCTATATATCGGGAAAATTATGGGGGGGGGCACAGGCTCCGTCCCCCCCCCCCCCAGTTCCTACGGCCATGAAAACTATATAAACTTTAAAATGAAATACTTCAATTTTGTATTCAATGATATGCAAAAGTTATTACAAGTAGAAAAAAAGATTAATTCGTATTCTGAAACAATATTAGAAATGAAAAATTAATATTCTCCATTTGCAAGTTCATTATTTTCATCATTTTAAATAAGTAACAACTTGCGAATACGATGATGTATGTTTATTATTCCATTTGGGTCCATTTGATTACCATTTGGGTTCCATTTGGGTCCATTTGGGTAAATCGACGCACCTTTGTCACGTGATATGCATTACAATAACTGTGAAGTACATGTTAGTAACATAGTGTTTTCAAAACAAAATTTACCTTCCCATAAACTTTTTACAATTTATTAATTATTTTAGGCACTGTATATAATTCATATTCGGAAACTTAGTACGTTTTGTTTTTATATCATTTTGGGGAGCAGTTCATGTACCAACTTTTTATAAAATCATAATTAATAAATATCTGAAGGGAAATAAAAAACATATTGAAACGCTGTAACAATCATTTAGATTTAATATTAAGCATTAAAAAAAAACCCTTTTATTTATAACATATTCATGTATGTTATCAATAAGGAATCGTGCTATTAAAATAATAAAATAATAACGTCTCATTTCCCCATGTGCATATTCTTACACAACCACAAATGATAATAAGGACAAAACGATGAGAGTGCAACAATATAATTACAGTCTTTGCTACTTCAATACAAAGTGATTTAGAATATATCGAGCAAATGGAAAAAGTCTAGATCTTGTGCATTATGTCTAGTTGAAATTATATGCAAGATCTAGTTTTACCACAAACTTCCAAAGAAAGGTTGCATGTTAAAGTTACCATATGTTTGCAAGGATGAACATTGTTGGACAAACATGTTTTAACCACTTCTTCTCCACTCCTAAAATATGCACAGTTTTAAGTAAGAGGTGCGTACATTTCTTTGTATTAGCCCTTTCACGATAACTGCTTTACTACTCTTTTGCAGGGCAAATTAATAACGTTGGGCGAAATTTTTGCTGACAGAAAATTAAATGACGTATATTAAACAATTACTTTTACGTCATATTTCACCAAAATATATCATTTTGCCCTGCAAAAGAGCAGTGCCGCAGTTATCGTGAAACAGTCTAGGGAGGGCGTATCATGGATATGGTGGTGTTTTTTTATCTGTCTGTCCACGCTGTCTGTGTGTGGTCAAGTATTTATCAGGTTGGGAACAATTCCCCTGTAGAGATATCATATCGCTAGAGCGCGATTATCTCTCTCTAGAAACAAGAAGAAAAATGTCCCGGAAAGTCTCAAAAGCCCGAGATTTATATTTTGATTCCATCTGTAAACGTGTTCAGGTATGGACTGTTGTCATATCCTGCTCAATGCAGTACTGCTTGATAATTTAGTGCTCCACATTATTGCCCAACGTCACCATTTTTGAAAATATCTAATCAAAAGTGTTTTGGATATTTTTTTCATTAGTGATCAGTTGCGAATCGAGGAATCTTGAAAAAAAGGGGGGGGGGGGAGTTTGGGCTTGGGGTAGGAGCCCATGACCACACCAAAAAAATTGATTATTAAATCTTATGTATATTTTGGACACAAAAGGGGGACCCCCTCTAAATCCGCCAGTGGTGATGACAAATTATTTTTTTTATACACAAGTACTCTTAGATCATCAGATCATAGAGTATTTATCAAGGTATATTTTGTCACATTATGTTTTTGTATATCCTGGGTATAAAGACAAATTCATTGAGGATGCTACTTTTAAAAGTAAAAAACTGACCACCGATATCTAACAACCTTTTAATGCTGTTTTTACATGGTATATGACATTACAACCTTAAAATATTTTGTCAAATTAATGAGACGATCAATTCCCGAAAAAGTGCAAAAAATTATTAATTTTAGTCAAATAGTTTCTGAAATATTCAACACACTGCTCATTGCTTTATTGGCTATTCGGTTGTTATCGGGTACTCCTGGTCCGATGAGTTTTGAAAGTTATCCCCTTTGAACTTGGAAAAGATTTAAAAATTCACAATTTCTAATCATTACCTCGCCCTAATGTAGATTTTCCATAAGATCCATGGAATTCCATAACAAATTCTGTGGAATTCCATGGAAAAAGTGTTCCACGGAATTCCAAGGAATTCTTGAGAGTATTGGGATGGAACTTTTTCCGAATGGTACTGGAAAAGCCTGGAAAAGAGCAGAACAATGCCAGAATAGAAATTTGCGGAAATAGCTGGAATTCCAGGATATTTGGAAATCCAAGGAATTCCATGAAAATACAATGAAAAACTGGAATAATCAAAATAATTTAAGGGCCAAATAATTACAAAAAACTTGACTACATCACAATTTTTCATTAATCTATATTTTCAAAATAAAAAAAAAATCATTTTTGCTTTACAGTGTGTCTGCATGGGGACGAATATTGCATACACACTTCTATATATAATGTAAGCACAATTTTTAAAAAGTAGTCTCACTGAAAGTATTTTACATCAAAGATTATTTAAACAATGTTTAAAAAATCCACAGAAAAATGTCATTACTGGAGGATCACCTTGGTTTTATTAATGAGAATCATGTTATAATATACATACATGTACATGTAGTAAACTCTAGTCTAATCTCAAATATCTGACATTTTCTGATAATAAAATGAAATAGAACAAATCAAAATAGATTTTTAAAAAACATTAATTATGACCTTTAGCTTCATTAAATGACCTTGGGAAAGTTGAAGCCTCAACAGGGTATATTGTGCAACATTTGTATACAGTTACAATGATCTTCCAGTGGTCCATGTACATTTACCATACAAAGTTGGATGACTAGAGTGACAAGCATAGGTATTAAGTACACAAATATCTACTACACAACTATATTTGGAAGTTCTCATAAAATCAACACATGCTATTTTTCCCCCAAACATGCCCCAAGATCCTAATTATGGAAGGTCCTAAACTTCTGAAGTGTTGGCTAGAATCACTTCCTCACTGGTTCTGTTAGAGGGTGGTCAGATAATTGGTGTCATGAATGGATTCACTTTTGGTACGATGGCTTCAAAAGCTCAGCAAGTTTGATGTTGATCATTCCCACAGACACTTCAAACTTTTCTTGCTCAATTTCTGAAAGAAAGTATTACCATAAAGATGTATAATATCTATCTATAAATATATGACAAATAATACAATAAAGCTCTATAAGACAATTGGTTCCTTCAACCTGGCAGATCAGTTTAATACTATAGAATAGGAATTTATTATCTTGCCATTTTTTGTTCAGATTAGGATTAATTCCTTTTTAAAACTAATGGAAGTTGTGAAATTAAAAAAAAAACAAGATGTGTTTGTGAAACATTGATGCCCATATGGCAGCTTATGGCTAAGGTTAGTTTCTCAAATGCAAGTCAGACTCCAAGGTCAAAAGATGATAAATATTGTTACCCAAAGGAAAGTCTTGTCTCGGGGAAAATTACTGTGAAATATGAAAGCCCTAGCACCAAACTTTGTAAAAAGGCGAAGGTTAAAGTTTATTTAAAAGTAAGTCAAATGTCAAGGTCAAGGTCAAATGGTCAAAATTAATAGTGCCCAAGGGAAGGTCTTGTCACAAGAAATATACTTGTGAAATATGAAAGCCCTATCACCAACCATTCAAAAGTTAAGGACAAGGTTAAAGTTTTTAAAAAATGGATCATCAGAGTTGTGGAAAACTTTTTCAGATAGCCAGTCAATCGGACTGGCAAGAAGACAAAATAAGCCGGTCCGAAGTGATTTTTGCCAGTCCGAAATAGTAAGTTGCGAAATTAAAAAAAAAAGCATAACATTTTTTTTTACTTCATTACACATCTATTTACTTAATAATAATATAACATTCAGTCTCCATTTCCAAATACTCTTCCGTTTTCGTTTTTTTTTTTTTTTGTATTTATAACAATTATACTAGATTTCACCGCTTTTGGGCAGGTGACAGTGCTAATTCAGCATATAAACGTAATTTTTTTGAAACATTTATGCATTTGGGAATTATATTAACCTAGAAACTTAAATGAGTCTAAAAAATTGTAGAAATTCTGTGCATCGATAATAAAGATATCAACACGATCGATGGAAAAACGAAATCTGCGACAGTCGGAAGTACTAGATTTACCGCTTTCCCCAACTGTGTTTGAATTCTTTCAGTTGAATTTTTTCATATTTATCTTGTCTTTATCTTTTTCTTTATGTTTTCTACCTAATTCTGCCCCAGTTATAAATTTAACAGATCACGAGCACAATCTGGTTTCACTTTCATTTATAGCCTCGATCTCGTGCAAAGAAAAAAGTATTACGCAATTGCATATAAGGTACGATAATTAAGCTGGGTTCCAAGTGCGCTGATGATAAATAGAAAAACAAAAAACCTTAACCAAAATAGGGGCCGGTCATTTGGACCGACATCGATAGCATTTTTACCGGTCACACGCATTTTTTGCCAGTTTGCCGGCATGACCGGCAGTTTTCCACAACTCTGGATCATAATCAAAGGACAGGGTCAAATTGTTGATATCCAATGGAAGGCCTTGTCACAAGGAATACACCTGTGAAGTATGAAAGCAAAACTTGAATCCCCTTCACCCAAGGATGTTTTGTGACAAGTTTGGTTGACCATGTGGTTCTGAGAAGTCAAAAATGTAAAAATCTGAAAAGTTTACAGTCGACAGACTAACACCAGACACTGATCAGAGAACTCACTTGAGCCTTGAGCTCAGGTGAGCTAAAAAGAAAAGGTTAGAACTAAAGTGTATAAATAAGAGAAATGATTGTCTAAGTTAATTAACCTTGAATATGAAAGAGAACATTGTAAATTATAAACTATGTACCCTTAAAAACATTCAGCAAATAAAGTTAAGGTATGAAAAAAAGTACACATTATTTAATATAATTTATATACCATATAAAACATTCAGTTTTGCTTTGTCAATGACTGGTCTTTTGTCTCTTAAGCTTCTGATTAAAAGCATCTTTAACAGGAGTTTGGACGTCTATGCTGCCTTTGATATATTATCCTCCATATTTGCTTACTCCGTTAACTGACCCTTGAAAGAGGAAAAGACGAATTTATATGCATATGTAGCTGCTTTAAATGCACATTGGCATATTTACAACATAACAAAAATATAGACAAAGCAAATAACATATATGAATATAATAAAATGAATATATAGAATACATTTGTTGTAGGCTTCAGACATGCAAATACATTTTCATATTTTTTTTTTTGAGAAAAATTAAGAAAATATAAATAAACTGTTTTAAATATCTTCCATGCATCAGCAATTCAGAATTGAGTAAGATAATACTAAAACATTAATTAATAAAAACAATGATAGTTTATTTGTGCTGAATGATAATTTGAGCTGGCTCTCACAATTCTCACCAAGTGACTAGATGGCTTAGCATCTACATCTACATATTAGGATCTTTCATCAAACTTGATGATTATCATGATTATATGCCGGCGCTGTGCGAATCGAGTACTTCAACCCTTAAATAATCAAAATAAGTGCCATGAATGATCATGAACATACATTAAAAAAATAAATAGAATTTTTTACATCGTACTCTGTAAATGATAGTAAGTACTAAGGAATTTAGCTTAATTTGGACCAGAGTTCTGAACTGGCCCCAAAGAGGCTGCCAACACCACTGAGCATGGAAGAGAATTCCATAATGTCACTGCATGGGGGAGCAAGCTATGTTTAAATTATCTGTGCAAGTACTAAAGTTCTGAAAGTAAGGAAGACTTGAAATAGAGGCTTGGGTCTACCGCAACTAAGTTGTGCACAACTTTATATCATTTATAGCATTATTAGTCTACCACTGTCTACGTATGTTCTTTCTGTGTTGTAAAGATAGCCAATTTAGATGTTGCAACATGT